TATTTGATTTACCTATATATTGAATGATCACTAAGGAATCTAGGCTTTTCTGCGTCTACAGGTTAGATTTGATTTATCTTTGATAATCATGTGAGTTAAGTATTTTTTTTAGATTATTAGTTAATTTGATAAGTAATTAGTACTTGGCAAATAAAGCTCTCAGGCATGCAGTGCAGATTTAGCATCTTTTCGTTTGTCTCAAAATTCTGGCATTGTTTCATCCAATCATCTTAATATTTAAGAGAAAAGTGTGTAGTTGGAGGGATGACGTGGAATGTTTACATGTTGAAGAAAGTTTAGTTTTGAAGTTGTTCACTTGAAAATGATTGAATCAATTGAAAGGGATAAATCTGGGAAAGCCAAAACTGCTGAGGACATATTGCGGTTTTTCCAGAACTTCAGGATGATGATTGCTTACTGGTTGATCTTCATTTCTCAAAGTTTGACAATATTGAATTGCTATGTTTATGTCTTCTTTGTAAGTTTTGATTTGGTCTTTCTGTTGTTAGTTGATACTCTTAATTAAAATTGCTTTTATATCATGCAGTTCTGGAGCATCAGATAATATGTATTTTTCACTAAGCTTACATGTTATAGTGATTGATAGTTAAATAAGGTTTATGTTTTGGCACTGTTTCCCTTTCCTTTCTTCCTTCAATTCTTTTTTCTTTTTACTGAGATTTGAACTTAAAACACACACTATGATCCAACCTACTCTATTTCCAACGTGGTGCTTTCAGAGTTTAGCTTAACATAAGATGTTCAAGAACGCAGTTTCTCAATGCCAAATTTATGAGCTGAATGAGTTATATGATATTAGACTGTGGACATGTTTGAGAAAAAGGTGGAGGGGATGTGTCCTAACAAGGTAACATTTGTTGCTGTTCTAACTTCTCACAGTTTGAGCTCATTCGAACCTCATGGAGTTGGAACTAGAATTATTTTTAAATCAATGTCATTATGTGGGATAATGCCATTGATGGAGCACAATTGGTATGTAGTTGTTATATTGGGCAGAATAGGCTTTCTGAATGTGGGCATTGTATTGCTGACATGAGGAAAGGAATAGTAGAAACTGGGATCAAGAAAAATCAGCTTATTGGTTTTGTGTTAATATTGTTTGGTTCATCATTCTAATTTACTACATGAAATCTGCAATTAAGATATACAGACGGTAGAATACTGTAAAAGATTTGTGCATTGTAGAATATTTAAGGTTGTGAATCGAATTTTATGGGAGGCAGTGTTTGTTGAATTTCCAGAGAACTCATTTTTGAATTACTTGTGTCTGAAAATCAAATTGCAATAGTACATTGGTAAGGAACTAGCCAAATGAAATTGATGGATATGTGCATGCTGCAATCAGTTTTGAGAAACAGTATTCTGTAACATTTAACCTCAATTTACTGTCTCGTAACATGAATGTGCCAACTTTCAGCTTGCATGCATAATTTTTTAATATTTTTCATCTGAAAAGATTCATTTTAATGGGTGGAAGAGGAGTTGATAAGTGGATATGACACCCAGGTTGATTGATTTTTTTCTGATAGATGCTAACTAGATAAATGAAACTGATATTCATTTTTGAGTCTTGACTAGTTGAGCTTTGAGTTCTATTGCCTGTTATTGATGTCACTCTTCTTTTTTTGGCCTTCTTCATTGCAGCGTAAAAAAGTGAGCTCTGATTTGAGGTGCTTAAAGACTAAACATGAGTCTAGCATGTCTTGTGTGCCATAGTGTAGAAAGTCCTTCGCACTCTTTCAGGAGTTACTCCGTCTCCAGCTCAGACAATGAGGGAAGATGTTCTGCAATGGCAAACTGCTTAACCAGGAAGTTATCTGTTCCAGCTCCGAGATCAAATCCATCCATGCCATCAACATCCAAGGTCACCCCACATCCAAGCTTTCAGAACCCTAGTGGAATGGCAGGTGCTCCACGGCTAGTCCGAAGTCATGCTGTGAGAAGGGATCTTGTGAGGGACTGGAACTTCGATGAGCTTCTGATGGAGCGCTAGTTTGTGGTTAGGAGAGTGGGGAGCCTTCTCCCCCGTCGGGATAGCATTAGAGCTTTATCTTTGCTCTTTTTTTTTCCCTATATTATGCTAGATTTCCTCGTAGGTGCAAATGCAATTGAACTAACTTTTCCACCAGAAGAGTTTGAGCATTTGTTACCATCTTAGTAAATACTAAATCTGAAACAGTGCTCACACTTTTCATCCCTCTGCTCTTTGAGGTTTGCACTTTTCGAAGTATATCCCATAATATCTCTCTATTAAAAAAATTGTTTTACAGTATGGAATGGTCCAAATTGTAAAACAATGACTCTTGAATGAAGGATGGGGCCCTTGATATTGAGTTTCTTCTCTCATCCAAGGGTCTTATTTTATGGTCTGAACTATAAAATGACCAACCCATCTCTATTATTGTGAGCAAAAAAGGGAAAGGTAGAAAGGTAGAAATGTGGATTAGTGTACACTGAAAACTGAAGCAAAAAGAGTGCACATGAGGTATCAAGATTGATTCTTTTGGTTGGTTTGACTTTTTGAGGACCAAATTTGACACCGTCCATGAATAGCAACTGGCTACATCTAAATTATTGTAAGGACTAAATTGGGCATTTCTAAACTATAAGAACCAAATTGAATGTTAGGTAAGTACAGGGATGTCTGCTGCCATTGATCCTTTCCTCAAGGAAGACACAGAATGGAACACGGAAATTAGATTTCGAGAAAGGGTTAAAGCCAACTGTAGTCCTCGTACTTTGTGAAAATATTCATTACCATCCCTCTACTAAGGAGATGTTCAATGTCATCCCTCTACTTTTCTTGCACCATAAATTTCATCCCTCTGCTATCCTTTTTTTGTTCAATGTCATCCTTAATTGGATGCCATCCATTTTGTTGTTAACTTTGATTGTTAATTGCCTAACGGTCAAATATTTAACTTTTATTTATGAATTTTTCTAAAAGCACATATTAATGATATTTTTTTATAATAAATTCGTATAAGAAAATATAAAAGTAAACATTAATTTTAGTGTAATCTACATCTAATCTACATCTAGGGTGTAATTTTCCAAGACACACAAACTTCATCTTCTCTTTTTCTTTCTAAGAAGCAACTTTTTCTTGAGATGCAACTTCATCTAGGATGTGATTTTCCAAGACGTCAACTTCATCTTTTCTTTTCAAAGATGCAACTTCATCTCTTCTTCTTCTTGAGATGCAACTTCATCTCTTCTTCTTCTTGAGATGCAACTTCATCTCTTCTTCTTCTTAAGATGCAACTTGATCTAGGATGTGATTTTCCAAGATGGCAATGATGAGAACCCCAAAGAGAACAATGAGACCCACAGCACGACAAGGGATTTCTAAACTCTATAGGAAAGCCAAATCAGGTTTATAGTAGGATCTTGACCCATAGTTTATGTCGCAAAAAGAACCAAAGGTAAAAACCTTGACGCAACAAGAACCAGAGGTATAAAGTTGGTTGACACCACACCCTCGAACGATTAAGAATGAGAATGATAAATCAAGTTAGAATGCCACAAGAATAATCTTGATAAATTGTGTAAAGTTCTGAAACGAACCAAAGAGAAAGTCTCTCAAAAACTCAGATTCAATAGCCTTCCCCCAATTAGGGTTACAAGCCCTTCAAATAGGGAAAAGTAATTCTAATCAGAATAGAAAACTAACACCCTAAGCCCTAAGCCCTAAGCCCTAATCCTAATAACCATGAATTGGGCCTCAAATAAATGAATGTTCAGCCCAAAATAATACAAAAAACGTGAAAATCGCTTAAAGTAACCTAACGTAACATGAAATATTAGTTTGTTACAAATTGCAATAGAATTGTGGGATTTTGACGCAAACTGTGGAATTTAGCATAAATGACCTCAATTACACTTCTCTTGAATCTGAATGATGTTTACCATGCCTTGATAATCATCCAAGCTTCGATTTACTTGTTGCATGTTGTTATCAACCCAGATCTGCTCAATAAGGCCATTTAAAACTTCTCGCATCTTCCCAGCTCTAGCTCTCGTGATTGGACCTCTTGAAATGTGTAATGGATCTTTTGACGTGGTACATGTGGGGTCATCTTGATTCCCATCAGGCAACTTCATCATTTCTTTTTTGAGATGCAACTTCATCTCTTCTTCTTCCTGAGATGCAACTTCATCTAGGATGTGACTTTCTAAGACACAACTTC